AGGTTCAATCGTGCGTGCTGTATACGTAGTTCGCGACGAGACACATACGACAGCATGTGGGCGGACTGGAGCAATAGACAATATTGGATCGTATGTATTTTTCGATTTAAAGCTTTCGTGACTGCAGGGATTCATCTTCTTGGTTTTTTCGATAAAGTCACGTAGAAGGAAAGTAATAAAATAATAAAAATAAAACATAATAAAATAATATAATAATATAATAATTTTATTACGTTATATTTTTATTATTTTATTACTTCCCTTCTACGTGACTTTACCGAAAGAACCAAGAAGATGGATCGTATGTATGTTGAACTTATTTCGTAGCCACCCGTGATAATCGGGAATGACAACAAATTTTTACAAAAAAAGACAGTTCTAAAGAAATGAGTTTTAAATCCAGATTTGAAAGTGCGTAGCTCCAGTGGATTCCTAATATCGGAAGGAAGAGCGTTCCAGACGGCCGCAGAAGCGCATCTGAAAGCGCGCATCACCAAGAGAATATTCGAGTGTGGGGAAGTCATTTTCACGTAGATGTTACAATGCGTGTGAATGTACGCGTGCATCTCTTTTGTGAATGCACTGCTGGTTGAGGGCCTCCCCACGCCGCGTGGGTCGTGGGGATTATTTATCCATACATCGCCACCCTGCTCAGTGCGGGTTGGTGAAGGCGGGGAGCTAAGATGGGAGCATATTAGACGTCTCCAATTCATTTTGCTGCTGTGCCCTCTGATCCCCATCAGATATCCCATCCGTGTGTCACAAGAAGGTTATATCTCCCGATTTAAAAAATGCGTTCTTCTTTGGACACATTTACGTATGGACAAAGACAAACAAATGCAACCAAAGCTGAAAAGTGCACAAAGATGCATGGAGAGGTGCATGTTTTGAATTGTACTGAGAGAGAGAACATACACAAGACATCACTTTACCTGTCAATAAACGTAAGTGGGCTTGGACAGAACATGTCGCTAGAAGGGGATGATGGTCGGTGGGGTAGAGGCGAACGAACGACAGGGTGGCAAACGAAGGAAGGAACACGCCGGCGAGGCTGCCCACCGGAGGGAGATGGAGTGATGAAATCACATAATTGCAGCAATCGTGGTGGTTTCAGGAGGCCTCCAACAGCAGTGGTTACATCACGGCTGATGATGACACCAATCAGAATGTCTGCTCCATTGCGAATTCTGTAAAGGGCACACACCGCACACAGCTCTCCGTCCCATGCGCCGATATTGTTGTTCACAGCTGCACAGAGCGCAAGCGCGGGGAAAAAAACACGTGTATTCATTTCCTCTCGATGTGTAGTTGAAGTGTCGCGGATAGCAAGGAGCCAACAATTTGCATGAGACGTGCGTCACTGGTAACAAGCGTGACGTGGGCCGAAGGCCCTTTGTCCATAATGTGTTTGTTCCACGACCTGTGGAATGCGAATGTGTGGGGGGTTGAGTTGAGGAGTGCGAGGGGTTGAGCAATTTTGGCAAAGAGTGACAAGATGAAGATGAGAGATTTGTCGCTTGATCTGGACAATGTTTTTGAACAACATAAATAATGGAAATTAAATGCCCAGGAAGGCCTTACTTGATCTCTGCAAGGCATTTTTTCAGCAAGGTCCTGTTGCATTGCGAAGTTTGGTCAAACCCAGCTACACGCGAAGGGGTAAAACTCAAAGCTCCGCACAGATAAAACATCCATTACTCGCACAACAAGGACTCTGAAACGTCATTCACGACAGGTCTGTGCTTGCAAGGAGGAGCTATTTGGTTGAGGCAGTAAATGTCAATTTTAATGAAATTTTTAAATTGTGGGACTGTCAAAACTATTTAATATTGGACGTGAAAACTACTAGAGTACAGCATCATGTGTCGACGTATGGGGAATTATATGGTAACATAATCAGCAACACGTACATAGGTGGAGCAGAAATATGAACGATTTTCTATATGAACTAAATGTACACCATACCTCGCATTATGTGATGTTGGTAGCATATTCTGCCAATATATATATAAAATAATAATTCACATGCCTTCATAAGCCCACTGTTGGATGAAGGCTTCCCTGCAATTATGGGGTGGTTGATCGACCATACTTCACCACACTGGCCAATGCGGATTGGTGAAAGTCGGGGTTTCCTCACTGCCACTGCAGGTGTTAACAGTAGCTGGACGCATCATACAATATTTAGTCAAATTCCAAGCCACTATGTACATATCACTTTATCAGGGACGTGCAGTCAGGGGAGGCAGGGGAGGCAGAGCCTCAAGTGTCATACTCCAATGAAAATAGCTGTTACGAAAAGTAAAAAAAAATAATCAAATAAAATAGATATTAAGATTTTCCCATTGATCTGTGTTATAAATGCCTTTTATGTACGATTCCAATCATTTTTATAGTCAAAATCGCCAAATTAGCGGAGCTCCGCTGCAAATACAGGGAGAGACGAGAGGTGAGGCAGCGACGAGCTCAGCCTCCCCTCTGATTGCGCAACCCCTCAGTAACCGGATGGAGCGCGGGGAATAAGTGCGTGCCTGTTACTGTCTCAGTATGTCACCAATGTAATGTTTGTAGACCCCTTCATTTCATGTCCTCGCCTTCCATACTCCAGGTAACTTATTTCACGTATGTGTATAAAGATATTTAGGCTCGCTGGTCTCGTCATGAAACTGCAATGAAAAAGTACCAGGGGAGGCAGCTATCACGGCAAACACCAGTGATGATTATCTAAACTGGTTCTGGGCCTCCCCTAGGTCGACTCAGCTCTTAAAGCCGGTGCAGTGTGTAAACCATCGCCACTAGGGAGACAAAGGCGGCTGAGCGTGGTGCTGGCCACCTACCCCCTTTTGTGCGATGCCGGCCTTGATAGGTGTTCGCGAACAGCACTTGCCCCAAATGTCTGTTAAGGCTATACGGGGGATCTTTGTTTTTCTATCACTTTGTCTATGTTGAGCAATGTGGTGGTGCAATGGTCAAAGCACTACGATAACCTGACGGAATTTGATAAAAATTGTACACGACGTGCGAGTCACATTACTGAAATTATCGATGCAGTGGTGACCCCATAACCACAAGCAGGGTGGTGACATCTGGCTCCAGGGTCACATTATTAAGGGGCTTGCATTCGGCACTTGAAGGTTATTTGATAAACATTTGTAGTGATGTCGATGGGCTGTGTACACTTACCTGCAGGGGCAGTCAGGGTCCAGCAGGGGCAGTCGCTATATCCCTGGCCCGAAAGCAGGAGGGGGCTACGGGGTGTCCTGGGATCCCCCGGAGCCCCCTATGGAAGTCTCTGGAAAGTAGGCGGAGCCAGGGCTGACGCACCGGTGCTGGGTATAAAAGCCGGACCCCGGGAAGGGTCCGGGGCCAGTCGAAGACAGAAGCCAGAAGACTGGCTAGATATCACCTTGGGACCCCTAACCCCACTGCCCTTGTAAGGGCCGGGACTCTGTGTGGCCCAGTGGTGAGACCCTGGGAACCCCCGGCCCGACGTCTTTGTAAGGGCCGGGTCCGAGTGGGCTAGTGGTCGGAACCCGCACCTTGGTTGGGTCGTGTTAGTGCAGCCTCCCTTAGGGCACCCGTAGCCGGAGGACCCAGAGCCGTAGCCCCGTGCCAGGGCACGTTAGCCCAGAGGCAGTACCTCTCCCCAGGCAGGAGTTAGAGGGGCCGTTGCCCTGTGTGAGACTGTACTGCTGAGTATTTGTATTGAATAAAGTGTCGCCTCCAAAGATCCGTCTCCGACGTCACTAGAACCCACTACACATTCATGGTAACGCCAAACCACTGCTGCTAGACAGAGCCCCCCCCCCACCCTGACATGCGGTGCCGGTCGTGGGGATTGTTTTAACCCACTTCAACCTTGTCATGTGGATTGGTGGAGGGGGACAACCCAGGACCGGTTTCTGATGTTACCTCGCCGCCACTATTTGCCATGGCCAAGACTAGAACTCGCGCTCATCGATTGTGTCAGCCAATCAATATTTCTCTGCCAAGACCCTGGTCAGTAGATGCAGGCTTCTTTTGGCACTGGCCAATCGCCAATGCCCTTGTCTTGTAGTTATTATTTTCAAGGGCAACGGAGATGCTGGAAATTGTTTTTCCTTTTCGTACCTAATCACCCAATTCATACCCTGCCCCCTGCAGATCCACGACACTTTAATCAAGCGGTACGTATGGGCCTACATGTCAATCCAAAAGCAGTGTGATGGCCTCCTCCACGCTGTGTCGATCATGGGGGTTGTTTGACCATACTTCACCACGCTGGTCAGTACGGGTTGATGAATAGAAGTACAGTACAACAGTGGATTATGATGCACTGCCCCTATGTTGCGTACCACGCATCCTTTAAATGAGCACTTGCGGTCAATTTAATTTTGTCTGCTTTCATTTCAGGTGGCAGTAAAATCCCTGTAAAAGGGGTTTGGTCATTTTCTTGTTGACGTTTTGATCGATCGTGTTTACATCGTCGCAAGGGCAATGTGAATACATTCTCCTAGCGCATTCAAGCATTTCGCCTCGGAATTTCTGAGCGTCTCACATTTACTCTCTATTAGTTGCCACCCAGGAAATTACCGATTGATATTGATCCCCCACACGTGTTCCAATTACTCCTGGGGTATTCCACCAGATGTCTATATTTGCCACGCGGGTAAGTTCCCCCCAGGGCATTCCTCACCTCTGCAGATTTCTCTCGTGTGAATTGCCCCCAGGGGTATTCCTCAATTAAATATTGCTCACGCGTGTGAATTTCCCACGTGGCATTCACAGCTGCGTACATAATTCACCGCGTGTGAATTGCTCTCAGGGCATTCATCACCCTTTGAAAATTGCCCATTTGTGTGAACTAACCCCAGCACATTCACAACGCGCTGTATGTGTATCCACAATGTGTGTAAATTGCCCTCAGGGCATTCACCGCCTGTGTATAAATTGCCTCCCACCCCACCACCAATGCATTGCCCGCGTGCGTGAATTGCCCCGTGGGCACGGTTAGGGGCGTGGCCTGTGCTGCTCTGGAGGTTCCGTGCGGGTCTGGCGTGCTGCGACAGCCGGAGGGCGACAGCAACACAACTTTAACATCAACACAACTTTAACATGAACACAACAACTTGAAGAGCGACGTGAAACATCAACAACGACGGCGGCGGCGGCCACCACTTCAACGCGGACGTAATCAACATTCGCTTTCGACGACGACGACATCATCGACACGGACACGAGAACCATCACCGCCAACATCAACACATCGGCAGAAATAAACATCAAGCCACAACTCCGCCGGCAAGAGAGGGGGGTAGCCATAAGAAAATCGTCTGCAAGCAGCAGCGACTTCTCCTGTGGGACCAACTCCCTCAGACCAGCGGCTACTTGAGCGAGAACTTGGACTTGAGTTAGCAGCGTAACTTTAGCGAGTACCGTAAAGTGTTCGAATGCCTAAAACGAGCGAGTGTTTATAAATTATATTGAGCAACTTAATTGAGCCAATACCTTCCGCAACAAGAGCACCCCAATTGAGCGAACGGTGTGAGTAACTCTTATAAGTTTGAGTAATCGAAGTGACCACAACCTAAAATAATGAGAGAGCGAGCGTGTGTGTATATATAACTGATTAGGTAACTGCGTGGCTGAGGGAAAGAGACCGACTCCCCGTGTCGAAAGTAACCCAAGCGTTGTAAGACTGAGGTAGCTGCCCTTGTCCCGAGTTAAACGAGCAACCTTTTGGTAGTTAGTCTAAGTAGTGGCTACGTAAGCATCTTTAGTGAGTCAGTAACAAGGTCGTCTTGAACGCCGTCGTCGTCCTCCTGTTCGAACCCCGCTCGTGTCCCATCAAATGCCGTGGCGATGAGCCATCACCGCGACGCCGAGGCGGACGGAGAGACGTGCATGGACAGCGGGAGGCCTGGGAGCGTGGTGTGCGAGCCCGAGGAACGCCACTACATCCCCGTGCGAGTGCTGGGTCGGGGCGCCTTCGGAGAAGCCGCACTCTACCGCCGCAACGAGGTTAGGAAAGTGCGGCGTTAGGCCGAGGCTCCGCGGTGAGCTAGGCCGCGCGCGGGCCTCCCCCGGGGGTAGCGGTCCTCGGATAGATTCGCTGCCGGAGAAAGGCGACGATAAGCTGTCGTAGAATGGCGCTGTCACCACCCCCCCCCTCCCATCTCTCCCTCCTCGCGCTACGTTTCGTGGTGGGGTGTTTGTCGCGGGTAAATGTGGTATAAAGTTGTCGCGGGGTTTCGCTAAGTTTCAATCAATTATTTTTAATGATTGAGTCTTGTGGCTTTATTTTTTTATTTTGAACGCGATCGTGTCAGCGGGTTGTGTAGGAGGATGTGGTTTCTGTTGCGACGTTTGTATTTTACAAACCATAAACTTCCAGCTCTGTTATTTTTTATAGTTATATTACACTGTCCAATATAATTAGCTGATTTGCATAGTCATTATAACCACGCGTGGAGTTAAATTACAGGAAACTGTTATTTTCTAGTTATGTTACAATGTCCAATGATAATTCGCTGATTTGCATAGTCATTATAACCACGCATGGAGTTAAATTACAGGAAACTTTGAAATGGTTTCAAAGTTGGGCAAATTTTTTAGTTTTTAGTATGGGCAAAACAAAAAGTCGCCTTCATCAAGTTTGCTCGGCAAATATACCTTGGTGTTCGTCTAACGAGAGGTAGTTTATTGAAGGCGAACCACGATCAAAATGATGAAAGTGAGCGAACGAGAGCAGTCTGGAAGGAGTTATTTTTGAACCTTGATGGAAAACAACGTTACTGTACCATTGTACCAATAGCAGATAATAGTGATCTAGTTCAAGTTCATGTATTAGGTATAGCCCTGTGAGCCATTCGGCTCTTGAATCGGGTGCAACCGCAACAAGCAAAAAACAAAAACATGAACAAAAAACATCTTAAAGTGAATATGTGACTGAGTGCAAACAGAAAATCCAAGAAAAGACAGCAAAATATTGCAGAAAAAACACCGTACACCAACGCTGTGTGCAAAAATCCCAGTGGGATGCAAGTCAAACAACCAACAACAACCACAAGACAACTTAGATTAAGGCCATCAGTCTAACTCTGTACTACAACAAACAAACATGGCTAAACCAATACACTTTTCGAAATCACCAAAATAAAGCCATGAAAGCAATGAAACCGTGGATCATAGCAACTGTGATCATAGGACTAATGACAATAAAGGGGAAAAAGTTCGACAGTGGCGGTGGGGGGGGGGGTCAAAGCAGCGTGGAGAGATGTGTGTGTGCTCAGGATTACAATGGGGGTGGATGGAGGAAGTACGTGCATGAGAACATATTGGATGTTAAGAAAAGTAAGTGGACTTGGGTAAGGGGACACGTCGCTATTTAGAGACGATAGCCGGTGAAATCTTGACTTTTGTGACTGCAACAATTAATATTCTTTGGGTCTTTAGGTAAAGTCACGTAGATGGTTCAAAGAAACTAACAAAAAAACTACGACGTTTCGATCACAACACAAGCGATCGTCATGATGATGACGATCGCCTGTGATGATGACGATCGCTTGTGATGATGACGTACGACCTGTTCAGATGTCACTCACCACTGTTATCCATGGACCAGGAGGCTGGGTTCGTGTTGCAGTTTGCGAACCATTGCACCATATTTCTACTCCCTTGTATGTTTAATTACACACACGCCAAAATACAAAACATTACAAAAAACAAGACATTTTTTTCCAGCTGCATTTATGTAGGTAAGTAAACTCTGGACTGATTTTTAACTTGCAAGGTTCTTATCGGCAACCAAGCCAGTAATAAAAAGGCTCGTATCATTGTTTTTGGGTTGGTTGTCATTCGTCGGGGCCATCTTCAATGTCGCCATCTCACAGTTCTGCAACAATCTAGCACCTGCACATGAGCTGATTGTATTGCTTCATCTCCATGGCTGATGTATTCTTGGGGGTGTTCACGCCTTTGACTCCCACTCCATCATGAAGTACCATAACCGGCCTGTACTGTAACAAAAACCAGTCCGTTTAACACGCCACCAATATCCATAATATTGTTTTTTGAGTTAGATTGTGTTGTTAAAACCCGCCACCACCCGACACAGCCAACTAGTAAGGGTTGTCACGTTAACAGAACGTGCCAATTCGTCACCAGTACAGCACACCGGTTTGTTGGAGAGCCAAGCCACAACATTTACAAACTGAGTACAACGTTTCGCCAGTAATTACAACTAGCTTCATCAGGCGACATCCAGATTTATAGAGAAGTCCATCTGTTTCGTTCCTTATATAGAGGCGTAGATGTGTTGACCACCCTTCTGCGCTCTTGCACAATGTGGGTGAGATTACTGAGTCAACGTACATGATGCATGTGCATTATGCGAGCCCTTTGAACTTGTCCTTTCTGTATATTGTGTTTATTAAAATAGCCCTACCAACGGTAATCCCTATTGAAGCACGCTGCCCTTTGTAGGCATGCATTTAAATAATGTTTTATTTGGTTATTCGCTTCCCGCAGCACTAAGACGGTAGCTATCCGAACGGTTAAAGTTATTTTGATTTATTTCAATTTCAATAGATTCTCTGATTAGTATTGGCCAGTAGTAGCTAGTTTTGCACAACTTCAACATTATCAAAATCAATTGAGTGTCCTTGTTGGCACGCGTGTTCTGCTACTGCTGACAGTTGCATTTGGGAGACTTTAGTATTTCTCTGTTCTTTTAGTCTCGTGCTGATCATTCGTCCTGTTTGCCCACTTACCACGTGCAGTTAATTCTGTACACACCTTCTGTTAATAGCTTCGGTAATACTTATTTTGTACCAGATATTAAATTCTGTGTTTTATGCACCGTGCCAAATCTGACTCTGTTTTGTATTTCCAAACATATGGCTAGTTTATCAGTTACTCCCGCAATGCACGGTATTTTGATCGTTTTAATTACTTGGGCAGTTTCAATGCTCTTGTTATTTGATTTTGTTTTGGTATTCAATGCCCTGTTGATTTGTGCACCATTGTAACCGTTCATTTGCAGCGCTTCTTTAACATGTTGAATTTTACTTCTCAGACTGTCACCATCTGACACTTTCTTAGCTCGATGAATGAGCGTCTTGATAAGAGCAGATTTCTGTGCAGGGTGATGGTGTGACTGCATTCAGATAGGCGTCATTATGCGTTTTCTTTCGGTAAACACAGTGTGTTATTTCACCATTTCTACCCCGTCCGAGCAGAATATCCAGAAATGGTAGAGTTCTGTCAGTTTCCACTTCCATGGTGAACTGGATGGATGGGTTTTGCGTGTTGAGATGATTTAGAAATGCGTTCCGTGGATCCTTGCCGTGTGGCCAGACCAATGTATCATCCACATATCTAAACCAAGCAGATGGTTTTAGTGCGCTTGAAGCTATTGCTTTTGTTTCAAAATCTTACATGTACAAATTCGCTATCACAGGAGACAAAGGAGAGACCATTGCTGCTACTTCCTTTTATTTATAGAAGTCACCTTGCCACAAGAAGTAGGTGTTCTTTAGACAGTGTTCAGCTAGTCTTGGGATATCTTTGGCGAAACCGTTGTTCATTACCAGAGTGTCGAGTAATTTAATTGACTCGTTGACCGGAACCCTCGTGAACAGAGAGGTCACATCAAAACTTAGGAGAATATCATTAGGATTAAGCTTAATGTCTTTATATTCTTGGTTCTTTCGGTAAAGTCACGTAGAAGGGAAATAATACAAATACAAAATATTTTTTTACGACGTTTCGATTGCAACACAAGCAATCATCATCAAGTGTGAAAACCACAGCAAGAAATTTAGAAAAAAAGTAGCGAAAGAACCAATAATATGAATCCCTGCAGTCACGAAAGCTTTAATTCGAAACTTAATGTCTTTAATCATATTTACGACATGTTCAGAGTTTTTGATGAACGAAGAGGTCCTACCGATGTAGGGCTGTATTTGTTTCGTTACGTATTGTGCTAATTTGTATGTGGCAGAGCCTCTTGTACTAACTATGGGTCTTAATGGGACATCAGGTTTGTGAATTTTTGGATTTGAGGCCCTTGGTTTGAACACGTATTGCTCTTCCTTGGGAATTGATGACTTGGCAATGGTTGCCGTTGCCGTTTTACGTTCCAAGGTGCTGTTTGGGTCTCGTTTAATTTTAAGGCAGGTACCTTAATCGAGTAAATCTTTGATTTTATGATCATAGTCCTCACGCGGCATCACAACAGTCCATCGGCCCTTATCAGCAGCAAGAATTTGGATATCTTTATTTGCTCTCAATTCTCTTAAGGATTCTGCTTCACTGAAGTTAATATTTGCACATGCATAAAGTACATTGCCTCAGTAATCCCCCCCCCCCACATTGTGCAAAAGTGCAGAAGGGTGGTCAACACATCTATGCCTCTATATAAGTAACGAAACAGGTGGACTTTTCCACAAATCTGGCTGTCGCCTGATGAAGCTAGTTGTAATTACTGGCGAAACGTCGTACTCAGATTGTAAATGTTGTGGCTTGGCTCTCCAACACATCAGTGTGCTGTACTACTATACTATACACTGCTACACTATACACTACTACACTATACACTACTATACACTACTACACTATACACTACTACACTATACACCACGATACACTATACACTACACTATACACCACTATACACTACTACACTATACACTACTACACTATACACTACTACACTATACACCACGATACACTACACTATACACTACACTATACTAGTGACGAATTGGCAAGTTCTGTTTACGTGACAACCCTTACTAATTGGCTGTGTCGGGTGGTGGCCGGTTTTAACAACACCTTTTATATATTTACGCGATCTAACCCAAAACCTCTATTATGGATGAAACTGTTCAGTCGCGTGTTTTAAAAACATTTTAAAATTTGCTTTCCAACGTTTTTTGACCGCGGCTCTTTATATCCCCATGTATTATTACCAGCACGTGATCTGTCCGCATACAGTAGTAGCTGTCTGCATCTCTCTG